ATCTGTTGGCGGGAATCGAACCGTTGACCCGAATTCCCGCCATTTCTCTCACCCCCAATGTGGAGAACCGCAGCAGGGAGGAGGCACGCACAGGGTCAGTAATGAACCTGGTCGTGCTTGCGATCAATCTGTTGGCGGGAATCGAACCGTTGACCCGAGTTCCCGCCATTTCTCTCACCCCCAGTGTGGGAGAAACGTGTTTAGCGAATCAGGCAATGTGGACAGAGAGATGATGGGTTTGGAGAGAGGGGGGTGGTCTCATGGTCAGGAATTGCAGCAGCAGGAGGCATATAGCGAAGGCGGGAAGATATCTAATGTGATAAGGAAAGAGATGATGTTTGGTTGTAATCACTCCCAGCAGCCGCCGTATAGCGATGGCGGGAAGACATGTAAGGAGATAAATAAAAATGAAGGGATAATGTCTCATGGTAATGGTGATCACTGGCAGCAGGCATATAGCGATGGCGGCGGGAAGATATTTAAAGAGATGAAGGAAGAGATTATGTCTCTTGTTGATGACTCCCAGCTGGCATATAGCGATGGCGGGAAAATATTTAAGGAGATAAAGAAAGAGATAAGGTGTCGGACTACATCAGGATCACTTTTTTCTAGTGTTACTCTAGAAAAGAGGAGAAATGGTGATGAGCCGATGAAACCAGCTTCAGAGGGATCGGTTCACCATGAGACTCCGCCATCGCCGTTATCTTCCTTGAATCGAAGTACTACTCGGTTCGTGTGGTCTGCGCAGCCGTCTTCATCACCACGACCATCTTCATTTTCCAATTTAGCAGTTCCACTCTCATCGGCTTTGTCATCCTCCTCCTTTCCAGTGACAACCTTATCATCACTGTCATCCTTATCTTCATCATCTTCGTCCTTGTCATCCTCCTCCTCCTCCTCCTTCTCGTCATCATCATCATCATCATCGTTGTCTGTGGTATCTTCGTCATGTTCTCAATTGGCAACATTGAGCCATGTGGGAGCAGTATTAGGATCTCTATCATCGCCAAACTTGTCCTCACAATTTATGGCATATGTCTCTCCTCCTCCATGCTCATCTTCTCCGTATGTGTATCCTTCGTGCCCATCATCTCTTGCTTCATCCCCGTTTGCAATTTCATCTTCATATTCAGCTTTGGGTTGTGCATTGGGTTCCGCGTTGGATTCAGTTTCAGGTTCAGCTTTGGGGCCAGGTTTGGGTTCAGCTCCTTCGGGTCCAGGATTGGGTTCAGCTCCTTCGGGTACAGGATTGGGTTCAGCGTTGGGTCCAGGGTTGGATTCAGGTTTGGTTTCAGGTTTGGGTTCAGCGTCGGGTCCAGGGTTGGGTTCAGCTTTGGGCGCAGGTTCGGGATCAGGTCTAGGTTCAGCTTTGGGTTCAGAGTCAGCCTTTGCATCCTCCTGTTCTTCGATGTCTTCTCTGATATTCTGTTCCTTGAAATCTGCATCCCAGCTTGTGTCTCCCATGGGGGAAGAGACAGACCCCTCGTCATGGTTCAGAAGAGGAGTCGCATTATCAGGATCGCTGTCACTGCCAGAGCTGCCATTGACATCCCGACTGCTGTCATCAGCGTTTTCCTCTTCTATGCGTCTCCCTTCTTCCTCTCCATCTCCATCTCCTTCTCCTTCTCCATCTTCTGCCCCTTCTGTATCCTCAGTCTCATCTTCTTCTTCTTCTTCTTCTTCTTCTTCTTCTTCTTCTTCTTCTTCTTCGAATTTGTCTTCGTCTTCTTCACATTCATCTTCGGCTGCAGTTCCAACAAATGGTTCCTTGCCAACCCTCTCTTCGTCTGTTTCTTCATCTTTCTCGTCATTGTTTTCTTCCTCGTTGTCTTCCTCGTTTTCTTCATCTTTCTCGTCATTGTTTTCTTCCTCGTTTTCTTCATTGTTTTCTTCGTCGCCATCTCAGCTTTTGGTGAGAGAGACAGGTTTGCCGTCGAGGGTGGGAGGGTCGGTTGGAGGGTCGGTATCCTTAGGCTCGTTGTCTCTGTCAGACTTCTCATGGCCATCGCAGTTGCTTGCATCATCTACATCCTTATCATCATCATCATCATTATCATCATCATCTGCATCTGCATTAGATCATTCTTTGTCCTGTTCTGTTGCCACGTCAACTTCAGATTCAGCTTCAGCTTCAGCGCACACTTCTGTTTTATCATCAGCTTCATCGAAGCGATTAAGGAGAGAAAGATCTTCGGCCGTTAGATTGACAGGAGGAGGCGACCTACCTTCACAAACCTCGCTGACTGTGTCATCTGAGCTGGCATCTGGAGGATCTGCCACGTCATTCTCTGCGTCGTCCTCATCCTCCCAGATGATGTGCATGGCGGAGTCAGCTTCCAGTGCCTTGCAGGGAGAAAGTGACAATCCCAATCCCGATCCCAATCTTCTCCCTTCTGAGAGAGAAGCTTTGGCCAACCCAACGTTCCCTTTCCAGGGAGGTCAATCCCCATGTCCGGTACGGTCGAGGGTTACTGACTCTAGTACCAGTAGATTAAACCTGTTTAACCTACTCATAGGATCATCTTTGAGAGAGAGAGGGGGGTTCTCAGATGTTCGAGACCCAAGTCTACAACAGATTAACCGTGAAAGATCGGCTTCCGAATTATCCTCCTCGTCGTCCTCCTCCTCGTTATCATCATCATCATCAGCACCCTTATCATCATCATCATCATCATCATCATCATCATCATCATCATCATCATCATCAGCAGCAGCAGCAGCACCCTTATCATCATCATCATCGTCATCATCATCATCATCATCATCATCAGCAGCAGCAGCAGCAGCAGCAGCACTCTTATCATCATCATCAGCAGCAGCAGCAGCAGCACCCTTGTCATCATCATCATTATCATCATCGTCGTCGTCATCATCATCATCTGTATCTTTGTGTAGCAATGAACATCACATTGATTTGAACCAATGGGCGGGCGGGAACCAGCTGCTTACAGATGGTACATATTCTATACCAGATGGTGCACAGTGTATACCATGGTTTGAGAAACCTGACCATCCCTCGGGGATGGTAATCGATCCGAAGCCTGTCCAGAATCGGATGGCTGTAAGACACCGTGCAGGTGCTGATTTCAGTGTATTATCATATCGAACAATTTACGAAAGCCCATCCAGTAGTACTGCTGGTAGCCGCATTCCGTCGGCTCGCCAGTCCTGTGCAGAAGGCAGGACGGGGATGGAAGGTCTTAACCATGTTCAATCTGAACCCGGGTTGCCCTCCTTCCAACCTGTCTCGTGTCTCACCGCGCCTGCTGAAGTCATCTCACCACCAGCGCACCTTATGTCAACACACATAGATTGTGACGTAGATGTCAGAAGACCACTTTCAGCACCATCTTTGTGCAAAATCCCATCTTGTTTCAAGTCAACGGGAGAGGAAGTTTGCCAACTGCAGTCCCAACGTGCATTCTGGTCCGCAGAACCCATCTCATCTGGTTCCTTGCTTGTTCCAGGGGTGGTGCCAGCTGTTCCAGAAGTGGTGCCGTCGGTCCCAGGAGTGGTTCCATTACCTGTCCTAGGAATGGTGCCACCTGTCCCTGGAGCGGTGCCACGTGTCTCAGGTGTGGTGCCGCCTGTTCTCAGTAGCACACAAGACCCAACCCCTGTTCTCGATCTCATCAGATGCTTTTCCTCCTCCCTACCTCTCTCCTCCTCCTCGTTCCCTCTCTCCTCCTCCTCCTCCTCCTCCGTCCCTATCCACTCCTCCTGCTTTCCTCTCTACTCCTCCGCCTCCCCCCCTCTCTCCGCATCCTTCCCTCTCTCCTCTGTCGCCTTCCCTCTCTCCTCTGTCTCCTTCCCTTCCTCTTCGTCCTCTCCCTCAAGCGTTCCGCAAACGATTGCTCCTGTCTTCATTAGCACGCTAGAGCCAACTCCTGCTCCCAATCTTATTAGCTTCTTCTACCCAGGCTCCTCGTCCTGCTCCTCCTCCTCCTGTTCCTCTTCCTCCTCCCATCCTTCCTGCTCCTCTGCGTCGCATCTCTCCTCCTTCTCCTCCTCCTCATTTTGCTACCCGTCCTTATTCACCTCGTTATCCTTCTCGTCGAGCTACTGTTTCGCCTCCTCCTCCTCCGCCGCCTCCTCCTCCTCCTTCTCTAACTCCACCACTTCCTCTGTGTGGTCCTCATCGCCAGCATCCTCCTCCTGTTTGCCAGCAGCATTCTTATCATCATCCTTCCTATCACCTCCTTGTTTGTACAATCCTCAATCGAACGATCGCTCTGTTCTTCTGTCTGAAGCTGAAGCTGGTTGGGAATCCAGGGCAGCGACGGCGTCCGCCAAGCCAGCGCCGACCACATCAACAGCCAATCACAGCAGTGTTCCACTGTCAATCACATCAACAACCTGTCACAACAGTGTTCCACTGCTGATCACATCAACGACCGCCTCCTCCTCCTCCTCCTCCTCCTCCTCCTCCTTCTCTAACTCCACCACTTCCTCTGTGTGGTCCTCATCGTCAGCATCCTCCTCCTGTTTGCCAGCAGCATTCTTATCATCATCCTTCCTATCATCTACTTGTTTGTACAATCCTCAATCGAACGATCGTTCTGTGCTTCTGTCTGAAGCTGAAGCTGGTTGGGAATCCAGGGCATCGACAGCTTCAGTCAAGGCAGCGCCGACCACATCAACGACCAATCACAGCAGTGTTCCACTGCCGATGACATCAACAACCAATCATAACAGTGTGCCACTGCCGTTCACATCACCAACCGGTCCCGAAAGTGTGCCACTGCCGATCACATCGATAACCTGTCACAACACTGTGCCACTGCCGATCACATCGACAACCTGTCACAACAGAGTGCTACTGCCGATCACATCAACAACCAGTCACAACAGTCCTTGCGACACACAGTTTTTGCAGACCTTAAGCACAACGACGCCAGCTGTCGTCAGCAAAGTGGCGTTCATTGAGTTGGCAGTCGCCGCCTCGGCAATTGATCAGCATAGCCTGCCGAGTGCGTACGACCTGCAGTTTTCACAAAACGCCACGTCATCATCATCAGCCCCCTTTTGTGACACTTCGCAACCTGAAAGCGGTAATAATTATTGTTATTATTATGCTGTAAACAGTGTACAGCCAGGAAATCAGTGTGTTAAGGGCACCACCATTCGCAGCAGTGATGCAGAAAGTAAGTCAAACACGATTCCCCCGCCGGAAGCTGGAGGCAGATTTGAGTTGGGTGGCCGGTTCAAGGTGCCACTGATGGCGCCGGGGGCGACGGGCACTGCATGCAGTGCAGTGGCAGCGGTCGTTCCCGGAATGGACGATTGCGATGAGGAGGGCAATGGCATTGTTGTGGATTTGAATGTTCATGATAATGTGAAGTCGGAGATGGATAAAACTGTGGGTGAGGTGGGATTGACGACAGAGTTGAATGCAGGAAACAGTGCCAAGGCCGATTACGACTCGCAGAGCGCGAACACCACTTACAGTTTGAGACCGTTTGATGAATCTTACAAACTCTTTGATCGGATGTTGCAGATACAGAGAAGACTGGACAGAATCTCCACAAGCTCAGCTCGGGCAGAGAAGGCCGACGTGGGAAGGATGGACGAGTGGCGCTCGCCAGGTGCGCGCAGGGTAGGTGACTTCTCATCAGCGAATGACTCTCCTCACTGGACCAGGTCAGATTCCGATGTGAACCTGGATCAAAGAAAGGACCAGGAGGAGGACCTCAACATTGACAACCACATTGATCGCACAGCTTCCTCTTCCTCTTGCTCATTGCTGTGGACCGCTGATTACGAAGACATGGCTTGTTATGGAACTCAGGTTGGACCAAGGTGTGGTTTTGTCTACTAGTAATGATTTCGGCAGTAAATGCGACACTGTTCTTATCTGATAATATGTAATTCATCGGCTAGTTAACTACGTGATTGCAATTGTATTGGAAGCTCAGTTTATTCAACTTTATTGTCTTTTCTTGCATTGCATTCCATCTACTGTGTGGAAGTTTTCAACGGCATATCATCTCCACACAGTCTCTCCATCAGTCGATGGAGGACTGTAACTTATGGTATGGTCATACAGTCTCGCAATGATTGAAGAGGAAAGTGAACACAGCACCTTCGAATTTGGGGGTGTTTTGATCCTTCTGGGTGAGATGATGCCTCTGCTTGGATCTTGCTGGGTGGATTCAAGTTTGTCTTGATGGAGTATGTTTTTATTCTTTTCTGGGCCTATTTTAGAAGTAAGAAAAGTCAGAATCTCCGGAACCACCGAATTAGTCCCATCCATTATACCAAAGAGTCGTCAAGAAACCTTAGTTCTTCGGTGGATTCTTGAAGGCGCCTTGTGGAGACGACGTTTGACAAAAATAACATAAGTTTAGATCAATCTTTATCTGCTGAAATACAGGATGCTTTGAAAAAACAAGGATTTGCTAGAAAAAAAAGAGGTGATCTTCATAAATTAGCTGAATCAAATCGTAGCTTTTCTCATTATCGTTGGTGGTAAGAATGTACATATAGAAATCACCACCAACCAAGCCCGAGTACGCCTGCTATGTAGATAGTGTAGTGATTGTGAGTTGATTGTCCTGGTTTCAAGTTTGCCGCCTTCCCTCGAAATAGAATGCACAGTCATTGTACCTGTATTCAGGCCAACTTTCAGTCTACATACAGGTATAATAACGATACGTTCTTTTCGAGGGACTGGCCGGATGGTATGGTGGGACATTGTACTGCATAGTACACAGACTGCGCAGACTTAGAGTATATACTACTAAGTGCAAGTGCTGGATTTACTGTTATGTATGCAAATTACGTTCCAACGAGAGTGGAACTGTTGTGGTCTGTTTACCGACACTCGTACTTAAAAGTTTTAAAAAAGAGGCCCAGGCTTTAAAATGGGCCTTGAAAGAAATGCATTGTATGATTCGATTCCGAGTTTCAGAAGTTCGAACAGGATTTGAACTCTTGGTCTGTATACAGACCAACTAGACCAAGAGTTCATAGGTTTTTCAAAACGGGGTTAGCCCCTAAGATGTACTGTACACAAGGAAGTTCCAACGAGACTTGGAACCCTTCACGCTTTTGGTCTGTTTACAGACAATTTTAGTTATTTTTAAAAAGGGAGTAGGCATTTAAATCGGCCTTCAAGCAGACTCCCTTTAAAGGGAGTACGCCTTTGAATTGGCCTTTACGTGTGGTCATGAATGTGTTGTAGGATTTGGTCTGTTTACAGACAGTTTTACTTATTTTGAAAAAGGGAGTACACCTTTGAATGGGCCTCAAGTGTGGTCATGAATGTGTTGTATGATTTGGTACCCAAGTTCCAAAAGATCCACCTGGTTTTGAACTCCTGACCTATGTATAAACACTAACATCTGTGTGTACCATTCAGCCACAAGGGCGGTACCATTCACAGCTGCCGTTTTTTTAGTACACAAAACCATCCACCTCTCCATGCGAGGAATGGATTCCCAGTGGGAGGGGGGGGGAAGGGAAGGAGATAGTCCCTGACTTTATTTCTAATTTCTAACCCCTTAAAAAAAAAAAAAAAAAAAAAAAAAAACTATTAACAGCCGGTAACTGTGGGTATACAGATCAAGAGTTCGAATCCTGTTGGAATCTTGATACAGTAAATGTCGTGGGTTACTCTCTAGATTCCCCCCTGAACGACAAAAAAAGGGGGGCAAGTTGGGGAAACCGAAAAAGGAAGAAGAAGGGAAGAAGGGAAAGAGGAGAAAGGATTTTGAATTTTGAAAGAGGTTTGAAATAACTTTGGAAAATTTGTTTTCATGAGTATGCAGATACTGATTACATGTTGCATGATGTCAATTCTGGCTTCATGGTGGCTCATTAATGGGCCTGAAATGGGCCCTTCTTTATGCAGCCAGAGGGAGGACTGTTCATTTTGGCAGGGGCGACAAGATGGCGCGATGATGTCTCCTGTTGTTGAGGATGATGTGCCTTCAACATCTGGCAATGCTGGAAAACGTCATCATCTCCATGAGCATGAGCAGCACAAGAGCCCCAGAGGGCATTATCATAATCGTCATCAGCAGCCGCCGCCGCAGCAGCAGCAACAACACATGTTCCGCCAGGTCACTGCGTCGCGCATCAGCAGGCATTCCCCTGTAAGTTGTGCAATAACCTCAACTCCCAGCTGTGGTGTGCAATTTGTGCTATGGTCTCATGGATGCCTCGATGCCAGCTTCGTAATCAGTCCATAATCAGTTTACACTGAGCGTGGCGGTTCTTAAAAGTTTCACGTTCGGTTCTGTAGTAGATTTTGAAAGATGATTTTTTATTCTTTTTCAAATCGACTATAATCCTTAGCCTTCCAAGCTAATGATACGGGTTGGATTCCCATCACCCGCTAACAGAAAAGAATTACCCTTAAAAAAAAAAAAAAGAAAAAAAAAAAAAAAGAATTGCTATAAAGGTCAACTTCGATGCGCATATGAACAAGAAGCATTCAGAACTGTTGATGACAGCCTTGACGATCCAAGGCCATACTGTCCTGGTGGACTCTGTATTTGGTTCCGATTTGCGAAATACGAGAGAGAGAGAGAGAGAGAGTGAGAGAGAGAGAGAGAGAGAGGTCTGCATTGCATAAATATTATTCAGTTAAAAAAAGGACAAGACGTGCTGCACATTGCAAGCATGCCACATATGCCTTTTTGCTGCGTGGGGCGAAGGGGGATTGTCAGTGGCAAAGAAAAAGTAGTGTTGTTAAACTGCCAGTACCTCCACGTTTTTAGGCTGATAACGCGGTAGCTGAATCTGTGCGCCGCGCAGGTCCATATGCATTTGCATCAGAGCCTCCTTAGAGGGATCCTAAGACCCCCTGGGGTACCGGTGGTTTAATTTGTCGTTCTGGCTGCGGTTTCAGCATTCTGTGAAATGGAATTATCAGGCCTCACTGGGTTCTCGCCAGAAGAAAAAAAAAAAAAACATGCTCGTTTTTTATCTTATCTTTTTTTGTCGTTTTCAGTAATCACGGGTACGTTAACACTTTTGTGAACCGGTGTAGGAACGTGTAGGACCTCATTCGGCAGCTCAGATGAGCATCTGATTGCTTGCCAACCGGGATCTCCCTCTATTCTAGTAGGTTTGACGAAGGCAGGGTGAACTTTTGCTGAGTGTGCAAACTAATTATTAGACAAACAAACTTTAACAAATAAGTTAATAAGTTGGTGGGACTAACAAAGACGTACCACCGTCTCATCTTATCCATTGTCTACAGTGACGAACTAAAATGTATTGAAATTTGAAAAATGAAATTTGAATAAAACGAACACAAAATGGTTGGACTGACTGGAAAGAGTGCGCTTTGACGATGATTATGTCAACGTGCTTTGTGCACCCACCTGCCCCCCGCATGGTTCCACGTCCCTTGTTCATCTTCTGCATGCATGGCGACTTTTGCACATGCACTTATGCAAACTGTGATCGGTAGTTGAGGGTAGCGAGGGAGGTAGGAGAGAGGGGAGTATTGGCTCACAAGATGGCAGGTTCCAGAGAGGGTAGATGGTGCCTTCGTACCGGACCGGGAAGATAGCTTGTGTACATCCATACCGTACTTTCAGACACGCTTATGGCTGGTCGAGGCAGGCAACGCAGGCAGAACAGAGAGTAGAGTAGACGATGGTCAAGGGCGGGTAAAAGAGATGCAGAAGTCGCTGCCGATAAATGGACTACCGTCTTCCCCCGAATAGAAGGTACGGTTATTACAGCTGTATTTGGGCCAAATTTCAGTGAAGATGCAGTGATAATGACCGTACGTTTTCATGCGGGCTGCCAATAAGTGGACTATTAATAAATGAACTACCGATAAATGGACTACGGTATTCCCCCGAAGAGAAGGTACGGTTATTATAGCTGTATTTGGGGAGAATTTCAGTGTAGATGCAGTGATAATGACCGTACGTTTTCATGCGGGCGAAGACGGTAGAGAGGATCAGTGGTGATCCCAAGGATGTTACTGGGAAGCTGCGCGTTGCACCGCGTACCTGTACGCAGGGTTGGCGTACGTACGCAGGTGCGTGGACGTACGCGCTTACTTTTTTTTATTTTTAATCCCCCTCCTCTACCTTCTCCTCCCTGTTCTCCTCGTCATCCTGCTCTGCCACGTCAGCATTATTATTTTTTTCTTTCTAATCCACCTTGTCGTGACTATTTCTCTACCTTCTCCTCTTCGTTGCGTCCCTCTCCTCGTCATCATCCTCTTCCTCCTCTAGATCTCACTCCTCCGCCTCCTCCTTTGCTTGTCAGGTTGCTCCCTCCTGTCCTCCCCATCTTCCTCCAGTGTCGTCATCTCTACCCTCCTCCGGTTCCTCTTCCCCCTCCTCCTCCTCCTCCTCCTCGTCCTTCTCCTCCTCATCTTCGTCAGAAGAGTGGCTCCCCTACCTCCTCTCTGGGCGAACAACTGCCCAGGAACGACACCAGATGCAGACTATGGCCATTAATAATAATAATAATAATTATTATTATTATTATAATTATAATAATAATTATTATTATTATTACAAAAAATGTACACGTACACGGATTTCTCAGCTCGTACGTGTACGACGCTGTACGTTCGTACGCGTAAGGGGTGCGACGCAGCTGGTAAGATGTGGTCTCACGGACAGGTGATATGGCTTACCTAAGTTTTGGTATTCTGGCTTGTACACCCGCCTTGCTCTGTCGGATAATGGCTGTGTGAGTTGTAGAGGAAGGTTTGTAGGAAGACTCTGTGAAGTTTTGTATGCGATGGTCATTCAATGTTTCTTTTGAATCGAGTCAGGTTCATTGCACCCGAGTTGATTCATTGTGATTATTTGAATTTGCCGGTGTTTACAGGAAAGTGAGACAGGAAGGGACCAAAGTGCAGCCGGGGCTCATCCACAAGTATTAGAAAGGACATTTTCGGATCCACAGGCTGGAAGGACTGTTGCGGCAGGGAGGGGTTCCTCCTTGGATGTTCATGGGTCAGCACGGTTAAGGTCGATTCCCAAGTCGAAAAGCACATCAAGCAGTCGGTTGACTGGGTTGATGGAGAAATGTTCTAACATAGTTGCACTGAAATTGTCGCCCCAAGACTGTGAAGAAAGAGGGGCGCGCTCTCCGGGACTTGGTGAGGGGGCGGCAAAGAAAGGAGACACCAGTGGGTTCGAGGGCAGCAGCCATTACACAGAGAGAGCAAGGACTGGATGGGACCATGGTGCGGGGGCCAGTTTGCAGAGGATGTCATCAATGGGCAAGGGCAGGCAAGATGCCACTGGGACACAAGATCGGGCCCGGACAAGGGGAGACCGGGGTGCTGAGGAGTTTGGTAACAGCCGAGAGAGGAGAGAAAGGGGGGAGGAGAGGGAGGAGGCGGAGGAAGTGGCGGAAGCGGAGGACCGGTTGGAGTTTAGTTTCCACCGCAGGCAAGCGACTGCAAATGCGCCGAATGTGTTTGGAGGCCACGAACATCGAAGCCCTAGCCAAAGGGTAGACGGGGACACCCGCGGGAGACTCGTTAGAACAACAATGGCAGGGAGCAAGTGGGGTGTGGAAGTTGCCACAGCTGGAGCGAGTAGCGCATCAGGAGCAAGACAAAGTCCAGCGTCTCGAGCCTCAGCTTATGGAAGCAACTGGTGCCGTCCAGTAAGCGTCAAGAGTGGGGCACCTGAAGCCCCTCTCTCCCCAAAAGGCTCACGACAGAGCGCTGTTCCTGCTCGCATCTTGGATGGGTTGACGATGTCCGACAATCCCACCACCGCAGAGTTGCGTGCGGTGGTACCAAGCGGTGCTAGGGGGCTCAATCCGACTCCTTCCAGCGCGGTGCCAGAGTCCCACTGTACAGTGCGAGGAGTGCTTGATGCGGACCCAAGGGAAGGGGACCCCGTGCAGTGCGATCTGATGACCCAGAAAGGGAAGCTTGAGGATGAGGCTCACAAGAAAGGGGAATCTTCGGGGGCAGCTTCAATATCAAATTCAACGGGCGGTTCAATCAAGCCATGTGGAGGGAGTGATGGAGAGCGCCAAGTCAGCAATCACGAAAAGAGACGGGGGGAATTAGTATTGTTACCGTCCTCTTCGGCACCACCCTGTGAACGGGGATTGGCATCGACGGCTGCTGCCGAGGTAGGCGGCAGCCATTCAGGTGTAACCCCTGTTCGACAGGGAGAAGCAGGTGGTAGCATTCAAGGTGCTGAATGCAAAGGGGGGAGTGAAGGAGATTCCTCCCTTTCACAAATTTTGTCTGGAAAGGGGGGGGGTGCCAGTGCGGAAAGGGGGCAGAGCCCTGTACGGCTTACAGTGAAAGGCTGCAGCTCCAATTTGGTCGTGTTGCAGGAGGAGGATAAAGATGCCAAGAAGGAAGCCGAAGTTGTGTTGGAAATTCAAAGGCATAAGCAACTAAATGAAAATGCAGAAGCTCAAATCAAAAGAGAAACAGAGCTGAGAATCAGGGCAGAAGAGAGATCTAAAGGACTTGAGGCGACTGTTGTGGTTCGTTATGACTCCTGCGCCCCAGTTCTTGTCCTCTGCTTTTCTCTCTCTCTCTCTCTCTCTCTCTCTCTCTCTCTCTCTCTCTCTCTCTCTCTCTCTCTCTCTNTCTCTCTCTCTCTCTCTCTCTCTCTCTCTCTCTCTCTCTCTCTCTCTCTCTCTCTCTCTCTCTCTCTCTCTCTCTCTCTCTCTCTCGGTTTCTCTCTCTCTCTCTCTCTCTCTCTCTCTCTGTGTCACATGTTTCTAGCATTCTCTACGTGCATGTAGGATGTAGTCTATATCATACATGCAAATGTCAAAACCAAGTGAAATCCAGAAAACCAAACAGGCAAAACAACAGATAAGGTTAAGGGAAAGAAAAGGGCAATGAAGTCTGATGAACTGGACACTCCATCAGTAGCAGTAATCGGTAGCTTCTGCAGTTTTTTTTTATATTTTTAAATAAAGAAAAGCTTCAACAAGCTCTGTTGGATCAAGTTAGTAAAAATCAAAGGTTGAAAAAGAGTTGCCAATTAACTATCTTATACCCTTGATAACGCTTCTCTCAAATAAATAATGATAGAAGAATAGACAGAGAATTAATGCGTGCGCACTGGGATTCGAAGTTCATCTGATGGACATGAAGTGTAAACGTGATGACAGAAAGAGCATACACAGAGAATTAAATTAGTATAGGTATATCATACATCTATGGTGGGGGCGAATGTTTGGTAGTACTGTCAGCACCATTGTTATGCGTTTCAAATTGTTCGATTATTTCAAACAAGAAACTTTGAATGTTTTGAATCTATGGTGTTAATTCTACTCTCTGCTTGTAGTATGCTTTTCATGATCTCATCTTATGATTTAATTGTCCCCAGCACTCGAATAGGCGAGAGTAAAACCACAGTGAGGTGTGAAGCTTACTCGTTCTAATTACGATTCCAACTATCGGGAATAATGGGGTAAATACAAATATCGGATTATGGATTTAGTGAAATATTTAACCTTTTCAAGGACGGGGAGCACAAACGATTGAAGACCTGCGCGGAGCTGAGGGAAGAACTCAAGGGCTGCCACAACCTCCAGCAGAACCTGAATATGACCTGCTGCTATCAATCCCACCACAATGGGTGGTGCTCCTCATAAAAGGGCCTCCTTGACTTGCCAGTGGAATAGGAACCGGACTGACGCTCCCCCCCAGAATGCATATGGAGCCAGGACCATAAGGCCCTGTTTGTTTGGGGTGTGTGTGTGTGTGTGTGTGTTTTATTTTATGTTATTTTTTTAATGCATTTTCAAGAGCTGCTTGTGCCACTGCCTTGAGCAGGCCCTGCCGGATGCTTGGTATTTCAGGTATGTGGGGAATCTTTTTGAATAGAAAGAATATCCTTATTATGTTAATGCCAACTGAGTTAATGTTGGAAAGGCCATTGGGCCATGGATTTGAGGTTTGTAGGTTAGCATCCCAAGGGACATGGAAAGAGGGGTCGGTGACAGTGCGCTAATGCGCCTGAGGGTAACTGCAACCTGAAGGTTGCCTCATGTTTTTGAATCGATTGAGCAAAAGCCCCTGCAGCCCGAGCGAATTTGACACCTTGGGCTGGATTGCATTGAATATTATAATGGGCTTCGAGTACAAAGGAAGCTGATATAACATGCTGCGCCCCAGCAACGCCCAGATGAGTTAGGGTGTCGCTGTTGGGATAAAAGTTCATAAAACAGTTTGGACCACAAATTGGTCCATCTTGGAACTCCTTTGTGGGTTATCGAGTTTCCCAATGTTGGCCAGTGCAAAGGATCCCACGGAGAAGCAGCTCAAATCACAATGTGGTTTAGTGTTGAAGGATAAGGGCTTATTTCAAGGAAAATGAGTGAGAGCGATAGACAGGAAACCGAATTGCAACATCACATTGAAGGTCAGATAGTCGTCTACCAAACCGAAAGTAGTATGCACTGAAATACAAGTCACATCAGGTACGTCTCTCTCTCTCTCTCTCTCTCTCTCTCTCTCTCTCTCTCTCTCTCTCTCTCTCTCTCTCTC